AGAAGGGCACTTCAGGAACAGGGTCCTGGTGGGAGGGACCCCACCAGCCCTGGCTCTGGCCACCACCCCGGCCCATTGTGACCTCCCTGGCTGTGCTCAGGCCTTTGTGACAGGCACTCTTGAAGCAGACCTGTGAGCCATGACACCTAGAGGGCCCTCAATAAGAGGGTGGCAGGTCGGGCCAGGCTAGAGCCTGGACCTGGGGTTAGGAAGGGGTTACAGGGAGGTATGGAGGGGCCCAAAACCCTGGGCCCCTGTGGCCACTCCCACCCCCAGTGCCCCCAGCCGTCAGCTTCGAGCAGCCACGGAGGATGCCTGGATCCACCCTGCCAGGGGTTTGTAAGGTGGCCCTGCCTGGTGCCTCTCAGTTCCACTCACTCCATAGAGTCGGCCAGGCCTTTCCCACCTCCAGGGGCAGGGAGCAGGGGGCCCAGGGTCGGGGCTGAGGTACCTGGGAACTTTATTGCAAGCGACGAGGGCGAGATGCAGCGACAGAGACCCAGAGACCCAGTGGGGGCGAGACAAGGACAAGTGGAGACAAGGCTGGGGTGGGGCTGGCCCCTGCACTCGGGACGAGAGCAAGGGGCCCCCAGGCAGGGGGGGTCCCCCAGCTCGGGGCCCAGACCCTGCCCGTGCCCGCCCCTGCCGACGGGGTCAGGAACCCCAGCCTCACCCAGGGCAGCCCCCTCCCCGCTCCAGAGCATGCCCCTGGATCCTGCAGAGCAGTCCTTCCTCCAGCTGGAGCAGGAAAACCAGAATCTGGTGAGTGGCGAGCCCGCCGAGGCGCCGGGGCCAGCCCAGGCTCAGAGCGCATCTGTGCAGTGGGCTCGCGGCCATTTGCAGAGCCGAAGCTTCTGCCCTGGCCGGCGCGGCTTCTGTCTCCTGCCCAAGAGGCAGCTGTGACAAGCAGCCCCATCTCTCTGCCCCTCCCCACCCCTCAGAAAAGACAGAACCAGGATCTGCGGGAGCAGCTGGGGGCCCTCCTGGGGCCAGGGCAGCAGTTCCTGCCCCTGTGCCCGGAGCACTCGAGCTGCACGGCCCTGGCCTGGGTAAGTGCATACGGCAGACGCCCGGCCCAGCAGGACGGAGGGCAGTTGTCGGGAATGACCGCGTGACTCCGCGCACCGCAGCTGCGCCCCCGCTCTCCAGCCGGCCCTGAGCGCAGACGCTGCCCACAGCCGTGGGGCTGACCCAGGGGCTCTTCCACAGCCCCCCGAGCAGGCCAGTGCCCGGCCCCTGGAGGACAGGGCGCCCTTGCAGCTGCTGCGGCGAGAGATGTGCCGGAGCGAGGAGTCCTTCGTGCAGCAGTCTCAGGTGGGTCCCCGGGCGCCGGACCACGGGAGGGCTCGTGCAGCAGGCGCCGGGGGCCCCGGGGAGGAAGGAGCTGACCCCGTTGGCCCTGCCTGTGCCCGCGCTGTGCCCCTCCCCAGAACGAGCTGCAGCAGATCCGACTGTCCTTTGAGAGGAAGAAGATGGCCATTACCGAGGTGCCCACCTGGCTGGGGTGGGAGGGCCGCTGGGGGACCCACACCTGGCGGGACACCTCCCTGGGCGCCCTGCTCCTTGGAGCATGACCCAGCCTCTCCACTCCCTCCAGGTGTGGGACGGCGTGGCCGAGGTACACATGGCCCTGAACAACCAGGCTACTGGGCTCTTGGTAGGTCCCCAGAGGGTGACCCCTGAGGCTGAGGGGAACAGAGGGTAGGCAGGGGGTGTGGGGGCAGGGGAGCATCGAGAAGCAGGGGGATACGGCAGAGTAGTCAGGGTGAGAGGACTTGTTTTACTTCCTCTGTCCCCCAGAACCTCAAGAAGGACATCCGGGGAGTACTAGACCAGATGGAGGACATTCAGCTGGAGATTCTGGGGTGATGTGCAGGGTCAGGGGCCTGGGGGGGCCTGGCTGAACTGGGAAAGGGGCAGGTGTCCTGGCCAGGATGGGGTGGGGGAATCAACCCCTGACCCTTCCCAGTTCCATTGCACCAGACCAAGGGGGTAGTGCCGGCTGGGGCAGGTTATACATGGCCCTGACTGCAGCCCCCCCTCCATCCAGGGAGCGTGCCCAGTGCCGCACCCAGGCCAGGAAGGAACAGCAGATGGCATGCATAGCAGTAAGCCCCCTACCCACACCCTGTCTCAGTCTGGCCTCGCCCTAGAGGCCCCTCTCGGGGAGGGTTTGTGGGCTTCAGTGGAGGAGGCCCCAGGGCAGGAGCCCCAGCAGGAGCCCGCTGACCAGTTATCCCTGAGACATGCTGCAGGTGCCTGGTCCTGGGTGAGGGAGTGAGGGGTAAGAACCGGCAGCACAGGGACTCCCCCACCACCCCCGCCATGGGGGCAGGCTCTGACCCAGCCCCTCCCCTGCAGAAGGCAAGGCCGCAGCTGGGATGTTCCGAGGGCCTCAAAGGCCAGCTCTGGTAGGTGGCTGCGTGAGTGCACGGGCAGGGCTCAGTCCCCTGGGACCGTCCCCGAGGGCACCCCCGCCCCCTGACCACCGCCGCCCGCAGGCTGCTGGCCCTGAGGCTGCTGCTGGGCGCCCTGCTGGCCTGCACCGCTGCCTACGTGTACGTGGTGGACCCCGCGCCCTTCGAGGGGCTGGTGCCCCCCCTGCTGAGCCGCGCCGCTGTCTGGAAGCTCCGGGCCCTGCTGGGCCCGTTCCTGCGCCTGGAGGTGGACGACTTCCTGCCCTTCTAGGCCGGAGGCCCAGCGGCCCCAGCGAGGAGGAGGCCAGGCGGCCGGCCCTGCCCCGGGTGCTCAGCGGCCACGCTGGCCCCTGCCCACGGCACTGCCGCGCCCTGTCCCCGCCAGGAGCTGCGGAGAAGGGTGGAGGCGGGGTCTGTCCTGAGGGCTGGGCCTGCTGCTGGACATATAGTCGTGACACACACAGCCTGTGAGCTTGTTTCCATGGAAACGGGGGCGGGGGTGGCGGGGGCAGGAGGTTTTGCTGCCTTCTGAGGCCAATCTCACACTGAGGGTTCCTTGGGGTGGCGCCCCTGCCTTAGCGCCCATGCTCCATCTGCCCGCTGGGCGGCAGCCCCGCCACAGGAAGCCCCCAGCCCACCCCAGGCCACCAGGGAGGGCTCAGAGCAGAGGGTGTCGCAGGAGGGTCTGCACTGTAAGTGAGGACCAGGGGTCCTCCGGCCTCATCTGTGGGGCCGGGCCCAATCAGCAGACCTCAGGGATCAGGTTCCGTGACCCGCCCCCCCACCTCCGACTTCACACCCCTCACGTAACCCTCTGTCCCTATCTGGCCGAGCACCCCACCCTCTCCACTCTTGACCGGCCACCCCCCCCCACCTCCCACTCCTGTCCCCTCCCCAACCTAGGATCCCTGTCCAGTCCAGCCTCCTGGCACTGCCCCAAGGCTCGGAGGACAGGGGGACCACGTTGGTGGACAGAGCTGTGGAGGTAAACACCAAAAATTTTATTTAGGGCATTAAATTAGGGCGGGGGGAAAATACCTTTTAGAACAATAGAGAATAGCTCTGTGGCTTGCTCATCCCCAAGTGGGAGAATTAGAGGCACCGCCCAGGCAGGAAAAGGGCTGGCCCGAGCCCCCGCCCTGCCCCTGGGGGCGTCCAGGCCCCCCCGTTGGCTGGCAGGGACCGCAGGGCCGTGGGCAGTGGGGCCCTCTGAGCTCCCCCAGGTGCCACATCTCGGAGTGAAAGAGTGAAGACTGCCGGGCAGGGCTGGGCAGAGCAGTCACCAGGAACACACTGGACTGGCAGGGTCTCCTCCCCGCCCTGGCAGGGCCCGGATGGCTCACCAGGCTGGCGGCTCCAAGAGGTTAAGGCATCTGTTCATGTGCTGGGTGTGGGGAGGAGGGAGTGCAGTGACCTGCAGGGGCAACCTGAGACCCCCACCCCAGCCCAACCCACCGAGGCCTGGGCTCCCTGGGGAGGAAGTGGCGTCTAAAGTGCTCGGTCAGGCAGGGAGTTCGGGGTGCTGGTCCCAGCCAGCTCCAGGGCCCCTGCCTGGGGAGTGGGACCCCCTGCAGCCGGTGGGGACTTCCTGAGGTGGGTGGGCACAGGGTCACAAGCCCCAGGGGGCTGGGAGTCAGGCAAGGTGCGGCTGGTGGAAAGAGGACCCCCAGCCCCCGGCCCAGGGTCTGTGGCTGCCTGGCTTCCTGGGCTGTCCTCTCGGGCCCCAGAGCTGCCTACTTGGTGTCCCGCTCAGGCCCCGAGAGACTGGGGAAAAGGCTGGAGGCAGCTGAGTGCAGGCGGCACATAGCCCCTCGGGGGGGTACCCCGGCGGCTGGGCTCCAGGGGGCCCGCAGCGGTGGGCGGTCCTCGGGGAGGCCAAGGTGGCATAGGTGCAGGCCGGGGGGCACCCTGGGCTGGCCACGCCGGCCCCATCCGCGGCTGCAGGTGCCGATCCGCCCCCTGGGGGCCGCAGCGTCCCGTGAGAGAGAAGCAGAAAGGTGGAGGTCAGCATGGGGCAGAGCTGCCCAGTGCAGGGTCCAAGGCCCAGCTAGCCTCCCACATTGGGCCAGTCCCTGCCCCAGACCCCCAGTCTTTGCCCTGGCTGGTCTCAGCCCTAAAGAGCCATGGATTCTCAATGCCCCCACCCCCAACATTTGGTGGCAGGTCAGGGGGAGGGGAGGCTCAGGTTGCCAGGAGGGTGAGTTCCAGTGAGTGTAGCTGCAAGGATGCCGCAACGGCCCCCACAGGGCCCTCAGCCAATGGGTGGCCCCATTTGCACCCCCTACTCCATCTCCCCTAAGAGCTCTTGGGTTCCCAGGGGGTCCTGGGACACCTGCAACCCCAACCTTTCTCCAAATGCCCTGTTACCACCAGGGATGATGCAGACCCACGGGAGCCTTGTCAGCCAAAGAGCCATCGGCCAGACCCCACCTCCCAAGCTTCCAACTCAGCTTAAGTCAGTGGAAACACCCACGAAGAAGAATGGCCAACCTCTCTCCCAGAGCCTGACCCACTCTGCTCCCCGCTCCCGGAGCCCCCGCATTGCAGCAACAGCCCTAGCCTTGCTCAAGGAAAGGATCAAAATGACTCTTTTTCTTTTTTTAATAAAATTATAGATATATAGATGTAGATATAAAAACATAAAACAGACACAACGCAAGCGGACGCTGCCGTGTGCTTACTCTCGGGTCCCTGGCGCCAGGCGAAACTCTGGCCCCCTCCCCCATGTGCTTCCCACGAGGGCGCCGAGGCTCCTGCAGGGCCTGGACTTGGCATGCCTTGGGGTAGGGAATCTCCAGTTTGGCAGGGAGAGGACTCCTGGTCTCATGGGTCCCCTGTGGCAGTGTCCGGCCTGTGCCTGCTCCCACCTGCCTCCCCCCGCCCACCCCGGTCGCCTCCCACAAGAGCATAAAGCAGAGGTTAAGGCTTCAATGAAAGCGAGTTTCCCGGCAGTGGGGGCAGCGGGGGCCCGAGCGTTAACACATGGGACGTGGCATGGCAGCTCAGCGCACAGACATGGGGACGCACCCACCAGCTGGGCGAGACAGGACACATGGAGCCAAGACCCCACCCACAGCTGGCTGTCTGTCCATCGGCCACCTGTCTGTCAGAACCCAGAGCAATCCCAGAGCTGGGTGCCTGTAGGCTGGGGCTGGACTCCCCGAAGAAGAACTGGCCTGGCCAAGCTACAAGCTTCCAGCAGGTCCCTGAAAGGCAACGAGTTAGGAGCAGCCGGGCGGTGGGGCCTCGGTCCGGTACGGCCAGGGACCCGTGGGTGCAGCAGGTGCAGATGTAGTGCACACCCCCTCGCCGCCCCCCCCACCTGTGGGAGCAGGGGCACCGCCACACAGATCCTGCAGTCCAGCGGCCCTTGGCCCAGCTGCGCCCTGCTGAGCAGATGGGTGGATGGACAGGCGGAAGGAAGAGGGACAGGCTTGTGGAGGCGTGGTCTCTTCCGCTGACGTGTCCACACCAGGCCTGGGCCTCCTTGTCTCCCGGGGCAGAGAAGTCGGGAGGGGAGGGCAGCCGCTGGGGGTCCTGGTCCCCGGGGCTCCACGGCGGATGGATGACAGTCAGTCCTCTCACACTGAGATCTCGTACGTGGTCCCACCCACGCCGGACACCTTCTTAACGAGCGTGTGCCGGGCAGGGCTGGCGGAGGGCCCTGGGGGGCCAGCGGCAGGCCCCAGGCGGGCCAGGCCCGGGGACTGCCCGTTAAGCTTACTTGGGGGGGTCTTCAGCTGAGGGTGGTCCCTGCATCAAAACAAGCACATACACGCACACACACAGTGAACGCGGGACCACAGCATGACAGAGGCCAGCGGAGGACAGAGGACAGAGGACGCGGACGCAGACAAAGCCTGGGGCAGCCCCTGCCTCTGAGCTCAGAAGGTCCCACCCAGAAAATGGGTGGGGGTGCACAGCCTGCAGAGGGAGGGCTATGTTGTCACAGGACAGACGTCAGAATGGCCATCATCCCCCTCCCAGGTCCCTTGGTCCCTCCCACTGGCACAGATCACAGAGCACAGGGAGGCCAGATGGACGCTGGCCAAGCCCCCAGGCCCTGCATCGTCCTAGTGCCCCAGGCCAGGGAGCCCAGTGGTGACTCTGGTTCCTTCCCTGCTCCCTCCTGGGAAAACGAGAGGCTGTCTCCCTGCCCTCCAGCCTGCCCAGTACTGACCAGTAGCATTTCTGACATCGCGGCCCAAACACCCACGAAGCTGGGAGCTCCTCCCTCCTTCGGCTGCCATCCCACCTCACTGTGCGGCTGCCACCCCCTGGGCCAGCCGCATCCACAACAGGGGCCGGGGCCGCCTCGCCCACTGAGCCCGTGCTCGCGGCAGCACGAGTGACGCCCTGACGACACCCATGCACCCACTGTGGGGCCCAGCACACCCCAGCTGCTCCGCTTGTATACTTGTACCTGACCCTGTGAGGCAGCCGGCCCAGCTTCCTATGACCCACCTGCTGGGAGCCTGGAACCAGCCTGCCCCTCTGGGCCTCAGTTTCCCCATCTCCAAGCAAGGAAGCCCTTACTTCCTGGGGCTAGGAGCACCCAGGACAGCACGTTCTGCTGTGGGATGATGTCCCCCAGACTCAGCCTCCTGGACCGACACTGTCTCCAGGGGAAGAAGCCCCAGGGTCCTCCCCTACGCTCGGCTGCACCAGCTGCATGAGAACGTGCAGCCCACAGTGGGCAAATCCTCCTGCCCCACTGTCCTCAGACGTGTCAGGGTGTCCTTGGAGCTGGGCTACCCTCACACAGTCTGGCCAGGGGGGCCTCCAAGGAGGGTGAGGCCCACGCCTGTAGGCAGCCACTGGCTTCCCAGACACCCCCCGCATGCTCAGCCAAGAGGCCCCACAGGCGGCCGGACACGTGACCTGTGCTGGGAAGCCCCCTGCCCCCCAGCACCCACCTCTGCACGGCCAGCGAGGGTGGCGACTCCGGGAGGTCCGTGTGGATGAAGGCGACAGCTTTGGGGCCTGCATAGGAGGGTGAGCGGGGCGTGCTGGGTGGGGAGGGGGGACCCTGGCGCACCGGGGACCTGTGCGAGCCGCTGCCGGGCCGAGGCCCAGGGGCGTTGTTGTTGGCCAGGTCGGCCTGCAGGGAGGAGGAGGAGGTCCGCGGCGCCCGGCTCACGGCGCTGGCCAGCGAGGACAGCGAAGTCTGCAGCGCGGGGTTGCGGGCGCCGCCGAAGCCGGGCCCCGCCACGAGGTCGTCTCTGGAGCCGTAGCGCAGGGCAGGGCCGCGGGGGCCCTCGGACAGCACGCTGGCCTGCTGCAGGCTGTAGGAGCTGGGCGCGTCATAGACGCCCGAGTCGCCAAAGAGCGAGTCGGCCTGAGAGCGCAGCAGCCGCTCCCGCTCCTCTCTGTCCTTGCGCTCCTGGATGGAGGCCATGATGGTCCTGGACAGGTTGTCGTAGCGCACAGGTGAGGGCTCCCGTGGCCGGGGGCCCAGCACCGGGCTGAAGCTACGGGGCGGGGGCCGTGGCGGGTCACCCACCGCCCCCGGGTGCAGGTAGGGCGAGCGGTAGCTGGCCACGCCGGCCGTGGCGTGGGCTGGGCACGTGTGGCCACCGGGAGAGCCGGGGTTAAGCAGACTGTCATAGGACAGGCTGCCATTGCGGTTGGGCAGCGCATGGGGGGCGAAGATGCTGCGGTGGGGCGTGGGGGGCCCGCCCTCAGAGCGCAGAGGCTGCAGGGCCACGTGGTCCCCACCCCTCCGGCTTGCTGCCTTGAGGCTCAGGGAGCGCAAGGCACCCGAAAAGGTGTCAGCAGCACTGAGTGGCGGGGACGGCGGGTAGGCTGCGTGCAAGCCTCCGGGCGTGTAGTCAGGGAGGTCCAGGCTGGGCTCCGACGCAAAGTCCAGGCTGTGGATGCTGTCTTCCCCCAGTGTCAGGGAGTCAGGGCCAGGGACCTGTGCGGAGAGAGGGCACACGTCTACCACTGCCCGGCCACCCTGCTCCGCCCAGGCACCAGGTGCTCTGTGCCCCGACAGAGGCTACAATTTGGTGACACGTGTGACCGACAAGCTGCTCCTGGAAGTTCTCCATCCCCTAACCACCTCTTCCTTGCCCACCACAGAAGCAAGTGGGGACAGGGTAGACCAGAGCCCCCAGATGCTGCCTCCCAGGGAAGGCTGGGCACACTTCTCCTGCTCCTACTTCCCCAGGAAAGAGGAGGGGGGCCGTGGGGACAGCCTCAGGAGCTGGACCTTGAGGGGATGTAATAACTACACGGAGAGCCAGAGCCCTCTCCTGGGCACCTCACGGCTGAGGATTGCAGTCGCTGCCATGTAAGAGCAGAGCTAGCTGCTGCATCTACCCAGGGCAGGACCCTCAGAGCCCACATGGGCCAGGACCTCCTGGGGAGGGGCCAGGGGACAGCCACAGCAACAGGGTGGAAGGGCCTCTCTGAGTCTCCGTGAATCGAGGCATGTGGTCACAGGCTTGGGCTGGGGATGAGAGCCTCCAGAACCTCAAAACCCAGAGGGGGTACTGGTAGGGACAAATGTGGCCTTGGGGTACTTGGCCAGAATCCTTGTGGGATCCAGGACAATCCCAGGAAGATGAGGCAGGCGAGGACACCTAAAGCCCCCCATTCCCAAGGAGGGCTGATCGATACCCCTCCCGGGGCAGGACCATGGCATGCTAGCCAAGGAGGCCCAGAACCCCTGCCCAGCCCACAGGGTCCAGAGACGCCGGGTCGAGCAGGACATTGGTCCTGAGGGGAGGTGACCGGTCCAGGCATACTGGCCCAGTCACAGGCTCACCTCTTAGGTGGCCATGAAAGAGGGTGGGCAGCCTGGGAATGCTCAGGGTTCTGGATCATTCCTCAGGCTGTCCAGGGTTGCCAACTGCTCCACAGTGATCGTAGAGTACTTAACACAACTCAGAGAAAACAAATGTGCTTTCTTAAACAATCTCAAATTCTTCTGAAGCCTTCCCGTGGGCCTTACAGAGTGACCAATAGTGGAATCCCAGGCATGCTGGCACACACTGCCCCTGGGGGCAGCCGCCTACCAGGCTAGCGGGCAATGCCGGCCAAGGAGCAGGGGCCAGTCAGGACTGCCTGTCCCAGCCCTTCCTTCGTGCATAGCTGGGATGCCCACAGGGTGAGGGCCTGCTGGCGCCCACAAGGCTATGACCCCATGGCCCCAGGGGCAGGGCCTCCTGGGGCGAGTCCTCTAGGAGTGGGACCTCTGGGGTGAGGCCTCTGGGGACAGGGTCTCCAGGAGGGGTAGAGCAGGACTTCCTGCGGCGGGGCCAGGCCTCCTCACCTGCTCACCAGGCCCGCAGAAGGGCGCCTTGGGACCCGAGGGAAAGGCAGGCCGGAACTTGTACATGGCAGGTGTCGGGGGGCTGGTCCTCTGCGCCGACAGGGCGCTCTCTGGGGAGATGGACCACGGTCAGGCTGGGGTCAGTCCATGTCCCTCCCTCTGTCTGGCCACCCCCACCTCACCAGCACTGCTCGGGCGTGGGGTCTGCAGGTCACCTCCGAACGTGCCGGCCTCCGCCTTGGGGGGCAGTGGCGGCCCCAGATCCAGCGGCTTCTCATCCAGCCGGTCCAGACTGCCCTTGGACTGGGAGGGGGCGTGGTCAGTGGTGGGTAGGGTGTGGGCCAGGGGTGGGGCATAACTGGGGACTCCTCCCTGGGCCCTGGGCCCCGGGGCCCTAGACCATTCTCCAGAATCTACCCAATTCCTCCCACTTCCACTTCTAGGCCCCCTCACACAGAGCTGCTTCCTGCCTTCAAGGGTCTGCCCTTTACCCCATCCCCTAGCTGACCCCAGGGCCCCCACCTTGCTGCGGCCCAGGCCAGCCTTCAGCCCGTTGTCACTAAGCTTGACCTTTAGCGGGGCAGCTCGCTCCAGGAGCTCGGGCCGAAGGAAGGGCGGCTTCAGGCGAGCGGCCAGCGGCAGCCGGGGGGGCTCCGCCACGTACCTGCACCAGGGGCAGAGGGGTCAGTGGCCAGGCTTACGTGGCCCGAACGCTCACCAAAGGCAAGGCTGGCCGCACCTGCCAAAGGCAGAGGTTGACCAGGCTGAGGGTCCACACCTGCCCACCCCAAACCCGGCAGAGGCCCCTTGACACCCCGTCCAGGCCTCACCGGGGTGCCAGAGGGCTGCACAGCACGTGCTCCACATTCCCATAGCAGCCTCGGGTGAAGGGGTTCACGCCCCCACGGAACTTCCCCGTCACCTGTGGACATGGGACCCCTCAGCCAGCCTGGCCACCCAGGGTCCGGGCCAAGGCAGACAGGGGGACAGGCAGGGACGGCTAGGGTTCCTCAGAGGCAGGTTGGGCAGGGTCAGCCCGTGGGTGCCCCCCGCCCATTCACCCTGACGGTTCCCGCCGGAAACTGTAGAATTTCTGGGCCCTGAGTTACTGGTGGTTGCAGTATCCACAGGCACGGCCCCACACTCCATGCCCCGCGCAGGGTCTCCAGGGCCAGATCCTCCCCCTACGGAAGCTGCGCAGGCCACCTCAGCTGAGGGCTCCGGCAGCCCTTCCCTGACACCACCCCAACACGGTCCTGGTGTAGCCCCGGCCCTCTTGGCCCACAGGGCCCCCCGCATCCCCATCACCATGTGGGCCCTCCTAGGGTCAGCACCTGCTCATTGGTGGTACGCCCCCGAGTGACCAGCACCACGTGGAAGCCAGTGAGGCCGATGACAGGGATGAAGAAGAGGCCAGCCACACACATGACGGCCATACTGGCCCGTTAAGGCCAATGGCCAAAGACAAAAACACGGGGCAGGTGCCTGGGGACGAACGACTCCTGCTGCCACCCAACCTGGGGACTCCCAGGCAGTCACCCCACCGCCCTGCGCCTCAGCTTCCCCTGTGGAATGTGCCCCCGGCCCACACTGTCTTTGCGGTCGAGCCAAGGATACGTGATAGCGGTGTGGGCAGCTCCCAGCCCCTCAGCGTGGTTCAGCACGTAGACCAGGCCAAAGGCGACGACGCCCACCATGTGTGCGCTGAGTGACAGCAGGAACAGGAAGAAGTATCGGTAATTGCGGCGCCCAATGCAGTTGTTGACCCAGGGGCAGTGGTGGTCAAAGTCCTGGGCAGGAGCAGTGAGTCAGGGCACAAGGTGGGGGGCGGGGAGGGGCACGGGGGGCACGGGGCAGACGGGGTGGCAGGACGGTCACCTCTACGCAGTTGTCGCAGACGCTGCAGTGGGAGCAGCGAGGTGGGCGGTAGAAGTGGCAGGTTGCGCACCACTTCATACGGACCTGGATGCCCCGCACATCCACGTTCTTGTACAGCGGGGCCCGGAAGTCGTCCTCCTTATCCTCGTCCTCATCCGCTGTGAGCCAGGGCCAGGGGAGGGTGGCAGGAAAGTGACTCTCCTGGCAGGAGAGTCCTTCCCAGATCCCTGCCAGCCCGCCCACCAGGAACCACCCCCGAAAGGCTCTCGCACGTCAGCCACTCACACTCTAGTGAAAGGGAGCAGATTACGTGCCCCAGCACAGGGCCCTACCTCGGGGGAAGACGCCAGGGTCCATGAAGGTGGCCATGCTGAAGTTGGCCAGGACAAAGAGGAAGATGATGCCATTGTAGACAGGAACAGCTGGGGACACAGCTCGAGTCAACCATGGGCACCTGCATTGGACAGCAGGGCAGAGCTAGGTCTGGGGGTGCAGCAGATGGGTGGGGATGGGGCGTGGGGACAGATGAATTAGGCACGGCCACACATAGGCAGGCTGGGCCATCAAAGGCCACCATCAGTGCTCAGCGTGGCAGTCAGGGAGGCCACCGCCACCACAGCCCCGCTGGGAGACCCCTACACATCAGCCTGCTGTCTCTCCACTCAACCATCGGGGCTGGGCACCTCGTGCCCGGTAGGTGTGCGGGCTGCCTGCACGCAGACCCTGACTCCAGCAACCCTCCCGGTGCCTGTTAGGAATTCACCTCACAGTTGAAGATACTGAGGCTCAGAGAGGCCTGTGGGCCTGGGCTCCCACTTTTAGGAGGGGTGGCAGACTGGAGGCAGGAGTCCAGGATGAGAAATGAGCTCACTCTGCCTGTGTGCTATGACAGACAGAGGCCAGCCCCGGTCCTCATGCAGACCTGTCCCCAGCCCAGCGGGGCCCCTTTGCCAGGGAAAATCTGGGACATGGGGAGCTCTAATTCTCAGTCAGTGAATGCATGGTGGGTGGCAGCCTTGTTTTTCCCTGAGGGGGCAGTCTCAGGGTCTGGACCACTGGGCACATCTGCATCCAGGAAGCCCCTTCTTTTTAGTTTGTCACCTTACTATCCATATGACAATGCAGAACACCTGGAGACTCTAGACAAGCATGATACCCCCTCGCCACTCACCATCTCTTACTACCTCCACGTCCATGGCTCCAAGGCTGCACCCTCTTCCAGGAAGCCTTCCCAGATTCCTGGCACCCCATAAGGATTACATACACCTCCCTGGTGGGTGCTCTGCCACAGAGAGTGTCCTCTTCCACCCACTGGGGACCTGACCAGAGCCCTCTCTGTGGATCCACCCAGTCCTTGGGCACATAAACTATGGCCCCCTGCCCTGACCCTGCAGCGTGTCCCTGAGTCCATCCACTCGGCTCCCAAAAAGTTCCTCTGGCCTCAGACTCCTGATCTCTCCCGTGGCTCCCGGCTGCTTTGACAAGTGGAGGGCACCTGGGGGGGTAGTTCCCCTCCCCATACCTAGCCCTTCTGTGGAACTGGAGGGCCAGGGGGATCCCCGCCCAGTAGCCCTGACTGAGGGCATTGTGGCCTCCGGCATCGTGGCCTCCGGCAGGGCGAGCAATGCCCACGGCCTTGCCCACTGCCCCAGTGCACGCCGGCCACGCTGGTGCGCCCACGCCTGTCTTGGCCAGGAGCCAGCCCTGCCACCCCAGCAACCACCTCCATGGCAGCAGAAGTTCGCTATTTTTAGTGGAAAGCGAGAGGCTATTTAAAGACTCCACTTCCCACGGCAGCAGGCTCGGCGGCCAGGAGCCGCAAGTTACCCCTTCCTCTTCTCCGGGACCTGCTGTGGAGGAAGATGCACTCCCTGAGGACACAGGTTCCCTCCGCGGGGAGGGCCTTCCCCCACCACCCCCTGCCCAGGCAGCCCAGAGTGCCCACCGGTAGATGCCTCCACATTCCCCATCCCTGCGAGCTAAAGCGTAGCATACAGATGGTGCTCAACATATGCTGTGGTCTCTGACCCAATCCCATCCAGCAAGGTGCTGGCGGGCCCCTGAGGCATGCTCTGCCTGGCAAGGCGGGGTGGGGGGCAGAGGCCAAAATGCCAGCGGGGATGGGCTCTCCAGGCAAGCGGGAGCTGTCAGCTCAAGAGAAGCAGGAGCTGGGGAGAAGTGGGGGGCTGCAGACCCCACGCAGGTGGGGCACGCCAGCTCCCCATGGCACCCTCTGGGAAGGGCGGGCTATGTAATCCGCACAAAATGAAAATGCGGGCCCGGTGTTTAAAAAGCATCAAGAATTCCAAGACCGTGACAGCAGAGCATTAAAGGCAAGGGTGGGCTCGTGTGCACCTGCGTGGCCCGCACCAGCCGAGCCAGCCTGCTCCGCAAAGGGAGGAGCTCAGAGGTCCTGTGCTGCGCTGGGGCCGGCAGATGTGCGCATACGAGGTGCAGCAAGTGGGTGGGCACTGCCGGCAAGAGGACACGGCGCCAGGGGGAGGGGGGATGGTCAGAGGGTCCATCCCGGCTGTCCAGGCTTTCCCAGGGGATACTGAGAGCCTGTTGCCCTCCGGCCCTGTGCAGTGAACCACAAAATCTGCCCTTCCAGCTGCAGGGTGTGGGCGCTTCTGTTTCCCTATTTTACAGACAAGGAGTGGGTATAGGACGGCTTGTCACATACCAAGACCTCGGGGTGAGATTCAAGCTATTATGCAGGCAGGCAGGGACTGAACCCCACAGGCAGCCCCCATACTCACACTGACCGGAGTCTCCCCTGGCCCAGGTAGCCTGTATGCTTTGTCCTCCCTGAGCCTCAATGACTTCCCCCCACCCCCGGGCTGGACAGCTGCCCCGAATGAGATGCCTAGGGCTAGAGGGGAGGGGGGGCGACACCTGCACAGCAACGGGGCCATGTTTGGGAATCTGCAAAGTGACAGGGCAACGTCTGCATTGACGTGGTGGGCAGCCTCTGTCCACTACAGGCACCACCCTTCTGCATGCCTGGGCCACATGTACCAGGGAGAGTGGGCTGGGGCCTTAGCTGGTGTTGGGCAGGCTTGTGGTGGGGGAGAGGGAGAGCAGGTACTCTAACAGGGACCTGAGCCACTGCCCTGTTGGCCCACCATCACCAGGCCCCCAGGCTCGACTCAGACCCAGGATCAGGCCCTCCCATGCATTCCTGCCCCCCTCATCCTCCCTCAGGGGGCCTTTACGCCCAGGCCATGCCAGAAGGAGGGTCCAAGCCTGGGTCATGCCTAATGAGGACCGGCTCCCTGGCCAGAGCCAGCAGGCACACGCACAGACATGTGCCCCCACGAGCATGCAGGGACACGTGCACGCACACATGTGCAATGCACACACAGACACACAAATATGCTCCCGGACACACACGTGTGAACACATGCCTGGATACACATGTACACAGACACACGTGCATACACGACCACATTCAAAAGGCACACGTACGTGAGCACACACCAACATGTGTTGACGAGCAAGACACACGTGCATGAGTGTTTGTGAGAGGGGCGCCTGGGTGGCTCATTCGTTAAGCGTCTGCCTTCAGCTCAGGTCGTGGTCCCAGGGTCCTGGGATTGAGCCCTGCATCGGGCTCCCTGCTCAGCGGGAAGCCTGCTTCTCCCTCTTCC